TCTGCTATGAAATCATCACAGTTTCCTAATGTGCAAACACTGCTCTATTGTATCTTATTGCACCATCACAGTGTCATTAGGCTTTTTGTAGTGCCTTAACTTTGGTCTGTTGTGCCATCCCTGCGCCATATTGAGACATCTTGTGTCCTATTGAGTCATCAAGTTAGCCTATTGTGTCATCACACTGTCCTATTGTGATATGAAAGTGTGCCATCACTGTGCCCTATTAAGTCATCATGGTGCCTGTTGTGCAATAATTTTGTCTTATTGTGCTATCACTGTGGCCTATGAGTCTTCACTGTGCCCTATGAGTCTTCTAGTGCCCTCTGGTATCGTCATAATGTCCCATTGTGTCATTACTGTGTCCTATTATGCCATCACAATAAAAGTGTCTTATTGTGCCATCACTAGGTGCCACTGTCCCATCACAATGCCCACTTGCATCATCAATGTGTCCTCATACACCATCATAGTACTCTATTGTGCCAATACTGTGACCTACTATATCACTGTGGTGCCCTGTTGAGTCATCACACTGACACATTGTGCCATGTCTGTGTCTTATCGTGCATCAGTATGGGCTAATACGCTATCGTGATGCCCACTTGTGCTATCAGTTCCTAATTGTTCCCTAAAAGTGTCATTTTTGTCTTATACCTTTGGCATACTGTGGCTTCATTGTGCCCTATGAGTCATTATTGTGCCCTGTTCACTCATCACATTGCCTGGTTGTGCCACCACAGTGTCCTATTTTACCATCACACTATCCTTTGTAACATCCATTTGTCCTTTTATACCACCATTATGATCTTCCATCATCTCGGTGCCTTTTTGTGACATTGTGCTATTAGGTCTACATTGTGTTAAATCTATATCCTATCATGCCATTGCTGTGCTTTATCATGCCACTTTTGAGACCCACTATAGCATTTGTGTGCTACAACTGTGGCTTGTTGCACTGTGATTGTGTACTATTGTCCTATCACTTGTTACAATTTTGCCATGACTGTACCCTATTTCAACATCACAGAGACCTATTGTGTCATTACAGTGTTCTACTATTTCTCCCCACTGACCTGATGCCATCACTGTGTCACAATGAATTATCACATTATTGTAGCTACTGTCTCATCACTGTGTCCTGTTACAACAACAAAACAACACAGGACATTATTATACTATTATTGTACCACATTTTGCCATCAGTATGCATAATTGTGCCATCATTGTGCCCTAGTCAACATAGTGAACTGTTGTTCAATCACTATGCCTTCTTGTGCTATCACTGTGTCCTATTGAGCCATTGGTTCTACTGTATCACCACAGTGCCTTATTATGCTTTCACTACAGTCTATTGTGCCAACAACATGCCCAGATGAACAATTCCAATGCTATATAATGTCACTACAGTGTCCTACGGAGTACACAGTGATGACAAAATACATCAGTGTGCCCTATTGAGACCTCAGAGGTACTTACTGTGCCATCACTGTAGCCTAAAGTGTCATTATGGTGTCCTATGGCGTCATCACAGTGCACTTTTGTGCCATCACTGCAGCAAATTGTGCTACCACTGTGCTGTACTGTGCCAACCATGGCCTTCTTTGCCATTACTGTGCCCTACTGTGCCATCATTATATCTTAAAGTGCCATTATCATGCCCTATTGTGTCATCAAAATGTTCTTGTGTGTCACCCATGTGTCCTATGGTACCATCACTGTACCCCATTGAGTATATTAGCTCCCCACTTAGTCATCACAATGTCTTATTTTGCCACAACAGCATCCTATTGGACCATAACAGCATCCTATTTATGATCACAATTTCTCGTGTCAAATGTTATTTCTTTATGCCTTCCCTGTGTCCTATAGTATAATCACAGTATCTCTTGTGTCTTCACATTAGTCTATTGTGCTATTACTCTGCCCTACACCTGGGTCATCACAATGCTCTATGCTGTCGTTCTAACATCCTCTTGTATCGTTACTCTGGCCTATTTTACCATCACTGTGCCATACTATACTATCACAGGACTCTCCTGGGCCCTCATTGTGTCCCACTGAGGCGTCATTTTCTCTAATGTCCCATCAGAATGCGAACTTGTGCCTCCAGTGTTACCTAGTGTACCTACTGTGCCTACTGTGTCATCACTTTTTTACAAGACTGTGACCTATGTAGTCATCACATTGACATATTTTGCCTTGACAATGTTGTTTTTGTCGTCAGTGTGTTCTATTGTGCCATCACTGGTGACTATTGTGCCACCAGAGTGCACAGTTATATTATCATGGTTTGTAATTGTGCCCATACAGTGTTTTATTGTTTCATCACACTGACCCACTGTGCCATACTTTGGCCTGTTATATTATCATTATGCCCTATGAGTCTTCACTATGTCCATGTGAGTCACCACAGTGCTCTCTCTGTCATTACAGTGCCCCATTGTGCCATCAGTGTGACCTGTTAAGTCATTACAGTGGCCAATTGAGGTATCACTGTGCTCTCTTGTGCTAACATTGTGCCCTATAGTCACACTGCTGTGTCCCATGCCACAATCACTGTGCCCTGTTGAGCCATTCCTGTGTCCCACTGTGCCATCATGGTATCTTATTTTGTCATCAGGTTCTTATTAAACAACCAGAATTACTTCTGTCAAAATATTTTTCTTTGTGCTTTCACCATGTCCTGTAGTGTCATGACAGTATGCTGGTGTACCACTGCATCAGTCTACTGTGTCATTATAATTCCCTACTGGGTCATCACAGTGCTCCATCTTGTCATCATAGTGTCCTAATGTGACATCATTCCGGCCTAGTTGTCACCATTCTACCCTATTGTGTTATCACTAGGTCTTATTGTGCCATCTCTGTGCTCCAGTGAATCATCAAGTCCCCTATTGTGCTGCTATTAGTGTTTCCTGTTGTACAATCTTTGTGTCATACTGCATCATCACAGTTCCCTATTGTACCATAAAAGTGTCTTATTATATCATTGCATTGTACCCTTGTGCCATCACTACGTCCTATTGTGCCACCCCTGTACAATATGGTCATCACTGTGGCCTATTGTGAGTCACTATGCTCTATTATGCCATCACAGTCTCCAGTTGTGCCATTACTTGGTCCTACTGTGCCATTATTGTGTCCCCTCAAGACTTCACACTGCCCTAAGATGCAATTTCAGCCATGATGTGATATTACAATACTTTAGTGTACCAACATTATATTCTATTGTGCCAACACTGTGCCGTATTTTATCACAGTGTTGTTTGGTGTCATCAAGCTCACAATTACAACATAATTTTGACTTTTGTGCCATAATTGTGCCTATTAACTCATCACTGTTCCTTATTGAGTAATTACATTGGCCTATAGTGCCATTACAGTGTTCTATTATGACATCACAGTGGCCTACTATGCTATCACTGTGCCATCTTGAGTCATCACTGTACACTATTAAGCTATCACTCTGCCTATTGTGCCATCACCATGCCCTACTGTGCCACTGTTGTGCTCTTTAGGCCAAATATGTGTCCTATGACTTCATCACTGTACTTTAGTGTTCTGGAACTATGACCTATTATTCCACCACTGTGACATATTAGTTCAAAACACTTGCCTATTATGCCATAATTGTGCCATATTGAGTCATCACAGTGACCTATTATGCCATTACAGCTTTATTGTAACATCCTTGTTGCTTTTTGTGCTATACTGTGCCCTATTTTGACATAATGGAATCCTTTTATGTCATCCCAGTTTCTTTTAGTGTCTTCACTGTGGCCCCTAGTGCTATGATCATGAACTACCATGTCATAACTCATTAATAAGACATCATAGTGCCACATTTGACCATCCCACTGTTGAATTGTTTTTCTCACTAGCCTGTTTACATCACTTGCCCTTTGTACCATCACTGTGCTCTAATGAATCACCATAGTAGCCTATAGTGCCATGAATGTCCCATTGTGCCATCCTGTTTGCATATGCTTCTATCCCCTTACATTATTTTGCCATCCCTGCAGTGTCTTTTGCTCACAATGTGCCCTATTGTGCCATCATATTAACCTTTTGAGCATCATTGTACTGTATTGTGCTCTCACTATGCCCAATTATGCACTATGACCTACTCTGACATCACTCTGTTATAGTGTATTATCACAATATCCTATCATAACATCACAGTGTATTATTTTGCCATCACTGTGATATATTGTCCCATAATTTTGTTCTGTTGTGGCATCACTGTGACCTATGATGTCCATCACTGTGTCCCAATGTGCTGTCATTATGTCCTATTGAGTCATTAATATGTTAGACCATCAGAATGTTCTCTTGTGACATACACATTCTATTGTGTCCTCACTTTTATTGTGTTATCACAGTGTCCTATTTTACCATCACATCACACAATCGACTCATAACTGTGACATACCAAGTCATCACTGTGCCCTACTGAGTCATGGTATTGGCCTATTGTGCAATCACATTGTCCTTAAGTGACCAAAAAAATGGCCCACTCTACCAAAACTGTCATCTGCTAAGTCATCAGAGTGCCCTGTTGGTAATTACTTTGCTTTACTGTGTCATATGTGTCTTCATTGTGCCTACTGAGTCATCACAGTGTTCTCTTGTATCATCAGAGTGTCTTATTTTGCTATCACTGTGTCTAGTGTGTCATCACTGTGGTCTACTGTACTTTCAGAATCCCTTATTGTGCCATGATTATATCATATTTTACCATCACTGTGTCCTGTTGTATTAGCACAGTCTCCTACTGTGTCATAACAATCTTCTATTGTGACATCACAGTCTCCAGTTGTGTCATCACAGTCTCCTATTGTGTCATAACAGTCTCCTATGTCATCACGGTATCCTACTGTATCATCACAGTCTGCTACTGTGTCACCAGTGTCTCTTAATGTGTGACCACAGTCTCCTATTTTGTATTCACAATATTCTACTGTGTCATTACAGTCTTCTATTGTGTCATCACAGTATCATATTGTGTCATCACCATCTCCTATTGTGTCAACACAGTCTCCTACTGTGTCTTCACAGTCTTCTACTCTGCCATCAATGTCTCCTACTGTGTCATCAATGTCTCCTATTGTGTCATCATGGTCTTCTACTGCATTATCATAGTCTCCTACTGTGTCCTCACAGTCTCCTACTCTCACCCAATTGTCCTATTCTGTCATATCAATCTCCTACTAATTAATCACAGTCTCCAATTGTATTATCACAGTGAACTATTTTGTCATCACAATCCCCTACTCTGTCATCACATCCCCTATTGTGTGATCATGGTCTCCCATTGTGTCATCACTGTCTCCTATTGAGTCATCTCCATCTCCTATTGTGTAATCCCAGTCTCTACTGTGTCATCACACTCTCCTACATAATATTCACAGTATCCTATTGTGACCTCTAGTCTCTTATCGTGTCATCAGAGTCACCTAGTGTGTCATTATAGTACCTGATTGTGTCATCATGGTCTCCTATTGTGTCATCACAATCTCCTTTTATGTCATCAGTATCTCCTATTGTGTCATCACAATCTCCTTTTATGTCATCAGTATCTCCTATTGTGTCATCACATTCTCTAACTGTGTCATCATGTTCACCTACTGTGTCATCAGGGTCTCCTATTGTGTCATCATGGTCTCCTATTGTGTCATCATGGTCTCTTATTGTGTCATCATGGTTTCCTAGTGTGTCATCACATTCTCCTACAGTGACATCACATTTTCCTATTTTGTAATCATGGTCTCCTATTTTGTCATCACAACCTCCTATTGTATCATCATTGTCTCCTATTGTCTCATCATGTCTCCTCTTGTTTCATCACAATCTCCTATTGAGTCATCAAGGTCTCCTATAGTGTCATCATGGTATACAGTGTCATCACAGCCTCCTATTGTGTCAACAATGTCTCCTATTTTGTCATCACGGTCTGCACTGTGTCATCACAATCTTCTACTGTGTCATCACAGACTCCTACTGTATCATCAACTTCTCCTATTCTGTCATCACTGTCTCCTACTGTGTCATTACATTTTTCTATTTTGTCATCACTGTCTCCTATTTTATCATCACAATCTCCTACTCTGTCATCAAGGTATCCTTCTGTGTCAATACAGTCTCCTACTGTTTTATCAGTCTCCTATTGTGTATCACATTCTCCTACTGTGTCATCACAGTCTCCTATTGTTAATCATAGTCTCCTATTGAGTCATATTTGTCTCTTATCATGTCATCATGTTCTCCTACTGTTTCACCATGGTCTCCTATTGAGTCATCACGGTCTCTTATTGTGTCAATAAGGTCTCCTACTGTGTCATCACAATTCCTATTTTGTTGTCACAGCCTCCTACTGCATTATCACTGTCTCCTACTGTGTCATCAGAGTCTCCTACTGCATTTTCACTGTCTCCTACTGTGTCATCACAGTGTCATATTGTGCCATCAAGGTCTCCTTTTTTGTCAATACAATCTCCTACTGTGTCATCAGACTCTCCTATGTTGTCATCAGAGTTTCTAATTGTGTCATCACTGTCTCCTACTTTGTCATCACAGTCTCCTACTTTGTCATCATGTTCTCCTGTTGTGTTATCACATTCTCCTACATAATATTCACAGTATCCTATTGTGACCTCTAGTCTCTTATTGTGTCATCAGAGTCTCCTACTGCATTATCACTGTCTCCTACTGTGTCCTCACAGTCTCCAGTGAGTCATTACAGATTCCTACTGTGTCATCACAGACTCCTTCTGGATCATCACAGTCTCCTATTGTGTCATCACAGTCTCCTATTGTGTGATCCTGGTCTCCCATTTTGTCATCACAGTCTCCTACTGTGTCTTCACAATCTCCTACTGTGTCATCACAGTCTCCTATTGTGTCATCACAGTCTCCAACTCTGTCCTAACATTCTCCTATTGTGTCAGTAGTCTACTTCTGTGTCTTCACAGTCTTCTCTTTTGTCATCACAGTGTCCCATTGTCTTCACAGTCTCCTACTGTGTTATTACATTCTCCTACTGTGTCATCACAGACTCCTATTGTGTCAACAATGTCTCCTATTGTGTCATCACAGTCTCCTATTTTGTCATTACAGTCTCCTATTGTGTCATCATGTCTCCCCTTGTATCACACCATATCCTACTATGTCATCAAGGTCTCCTATTGTCTCATCATATTCTCCTCCTGGGTCATCACAGTCCCCTACTGTGTCATCATTCTCTTCTACTGTTGTGTCACAGTCTCCTATTGTGTCAACATGCTCCTATTTTGTAATTACAGTCTCCTATTTTGTTATCATGGTTTTCTACTGTGTCATCATAGTCTCCTACAGTCTATTCTCAGTCTCCTATTGTGTCATCATGGCCTTCTATTGTGTCTTCATGGTTTTCAATTGGATCATCATAGTCTCCTTTTGTGTCCTCACAGTCTCTACTGTGTGATCAGCGTCTCCAATGTGTCATCATAGTCTTTTATTTTTTCATCATGGTCTCATATTCTCTCATCACAGTCTACAAATATTTCATCAAGGTAACCTATTGTGTCATCACAGTCTCCTACAGTGTCATCATGGTCTCCTACTGTGTCATCAGGGTCACCTACTGTGTCATCATGGTCTTTTATTGTGTCATCACAGTCTCCTATTGTGTCATCACAGTCTCCTATATGTCATCATTGTTACCCACTTTGTCATCTCAGTCTCCTATTGTGACATCAAGATCTCCGATTATGTCATCAAAGTCTCCTAAACTGTCATCATTTACTCTTATTTTGTCATCACGGTCTTCTACTTTATAATCATGGTCTTCTACTGTGTAATCACGGTCTCCATTTGTATTATCACAGTCTCCTATTGTGTCCTCAGAGCCTCATACTGTATCATCACAATCTCCTACTGTGTCATCACTGTCTCCTACTTTGTTTTTACTGTGTCTTATTATGTCATCAAGGTCTTCGATTATATAATCAGAGTCTCCTATTGTGTCATCAGGATCTCCTACTCTATCATCACTGTCTCCTATTGTGTTTCAAACACTTTATTCACCATCTCCTATTGTCTCATCTTGGTCTCCTATTGTGTCATCATGGTCTCCTACAGTGTATTCACAGTCTCCCATTGTGTCATCAGTGTCTCCTATTGTTTCATCACAGTCTCCTCTTCTGTTACCAATGTCACCTATTGTGTCATCAGAGTTTCTTACTGTGTCATCACAGTCTTCTAACTATGTCATCAATGTTTCCTACTGTGTCATCACAGTCTCCTATTGTGTCATCTCATTCTTCTTCTGTGTCATCAAGGTCTCCTACTCTGTTATCACTGTCTCCTATTTTGTCATCACAGTCTCCTATTATGTCATCATGTCTCCCTTTGTATCATCACTGTTTCCTATTGTGTCATCAAGGTCTTCTATTTTGTCAAAACGGTCTCCTATTGTGTCAACATGGTCTCCTATTGTGTCATCACTGTCTCCTACTGTGTCATCATGGTCTCCTACAGTATCATCACTGTCTCCTACTGTGATGTCACAGTCACCTACTGTGTCATCAATGTATCCTATTGTGTCATAACAGTTTCTTACCATCATTACACTCTCCTATTTTGTCATCACTGTCTCCAATTGTATCATCAAAGTCTCCTACTATGTCATCACAGTCTTCTACTGTGTCATTACAATCTCCTTCTGTGTCATCAATGTCTCTCATTGTGTCACCACAGTCTCCTACTATGTCATCACAGTCTCCAAATAGAATATCACAGTCTCTGACTATGTCATTACAGTCTCTTACAGTGTCATCACATTCTCCTACTGTGTCGTCAAGGTCTGCTATTGTATCATCAAAGTCTTCTATTGTGTCATCACTGTCTCCTACTGTGTCATCACAGACTCCTACTGTGTCATCACAGTCTCATTCTGTATCATCCATGTCTCCTATTGTGTCACCATAGTCTCCAACAGTGTCATCAAAATTTCCTACTGTGTCATTAAAGTCTTCTATTTTGTCATCACTGTCTCCTACCATCTTCTATTGTGTTGTTACAGCCTCCTATTGTGTCATCACCATCTCATTCTGTGTTTATAAGAGTCTCTGATTTTGTTTTCACAGTCTTCTATTGTTTCATCATTGTCTCCTATTGTGTCATCACAGTGTCCTGTTATGTCATCACAGTCTCCTATTATGTCATCACAGTCTCTAAATATGTCATCATTTTCTCCTACTGTATCATCACAGTCCCTATCTGTGTCATCACTGTCCCATTCTTTGTCATCACAGTCTCCTATTGTGTCCTCAACGTCTACAATTATGTCATCAGAGTCTCCTATTGTGTCGTTGTGGTATCTTATTGTGTCATCACTGTCTCCTACTGTGTAATCACTGTTTTCTCCTGTGTAATCACGATCTCCTATTGTGTCATCACTGTTTCCAACTGTATCATCAGAGTCTCCTAGTTTATATTTACAGTAACCTATTGTGTCATCAAGGCCTCCACTTATGTCATCAGAGTCTCTTATTTTGTAATCATTGTCTACTATTATGTCATCATGGTCTCTTATTATGTCATCTCATTCTTCTACCTTGTTATCAGACTTTCCTATGATGTCATCACAGTCTCCTATTGTGTCATATTTTTCTCCTATTGTGTCATCACAGTATTATTATGTGTTATCACTGTCTCCTGTGTTATCAGAGTCTCCTATTTTGTTATCACAGTCTACTATTATGTCATGATGGTATCCTACTGTGTCATCAAGTCTCGTAAAGTGTCAGTTCAGTCTCCTACTGTGTCATCACAGTCTTGTATTGTATCAACATGGTCTCCCACTGTGTCATCAGCGTGTCCTACTTTTCATCATAATTTCCTATTGTCATCACTGTCTCCTATTTTGTCAAAACTGTCTCATACTTTGTTATCATGATCTCCTCTTTTGTTATCACAGTCTCTTACTTTGTCATCACAGTCTCCTGCTTTGTCATCACTGAATCCTTCTCTGTCATCACAAACTCCTTCTGGATCATCACAGTCTCCTATAGTGTTATCAGAGTCTCCTATTGGGTGATCAGGATCTCCCTTGTGTCATCATAGACTCCCATTGTGTCATCATAAACTCCTATTGTGTCATAATTGTCTCCTATTATGTCATCACAGTCTCCTATTGTGTCATCACCATCTCATACGGTGTTATCATAGTCTCCAATTGTGTCATCATAGTCTGAAATATGTCATCACAGTTTCCTGCTGTGTCATCACTGTCTCCTAATGTGTCATCACAGTCTCTTATTGTGTCATCATGGTCTCCTATTGTGTCATCATGTTCTCCTATTGTGTGATCATGTTTTCTTACTGTGTCATCACAGTTTCTATTGTGTCATCACAGTCTCCTGTTGTGTCATTATGGTCTCCTACTCTGTCATCATGGTCTACTATTGTGTCATCACAGTCTCCTACTGTGTCATCACAGTGTCCTATTATGTCATCACTGTCTCCTATTGTGTCATACATTCTTTTATTGTGTCATTGTCTCCTACTGTATCATCACAGGCCCATACTTTGTCTTCACGTTCATTTATTGTGTCCTCAACATCTATGATTAAGTCATCAGAGTCTCTTATTGTGTCATCATGGTCTCCTACTGTGTAATCACTGTCTTCTCCTGTGTCATCATGATCTCCTATTGTGTCATCACATTCTGCTATTGTGTCATCACTGTCTCCAACTGTATCATCAGAGTCTCCTACTGTGTCATCACAGTTTCCTACTTTGTATCTACAGTAACCTATTGTGTCATCAATGTCTCCAATTATATCATGAGTCCCTTATTGTGTCATCAAGTTCTCCTATTGCATAATCATGGTCTCCTATTATGTCATCATGGTCTCTCATTGTGTGATAACATTCTTCTACCTTGTTATCACAGTTTCCTATTGTGTCATCATTGTCTCCTATTATGTCATCAGGTCTCCTAATGTGTAATAACGGTCTCCAATTGTGTCATATTTGTCTCCTATTGTGTCATCACAGCCTCCTATTGTGTCATCACCATCTCCTAATGTGTTTTCACATTCTACTCTGTTATCAGAGTCTTCTATTGTGTTATCACAGTCTCCTATTATGTCATCATGTTATCCTACTCTGTCATCATATTCCCCTACAGTGTCATCACGGTCTCCTACTATGTCATCACAATCTCCATTTGTGTCATAACACTGACCTATTGTGTCATATTTGTCATTTATTGTGTCATCATTTTCTCCAATTGTGTCATTGTGGTCTCCAATTGTGTCATGACAGTCTCCACTGTGTCATCGAGTTCAATTACTGTGTCATCATGGTCTTCTATGGTGTTTTCACAGTCTCCTACTGTGTCATCATGATCCCTTACTGTGTCATAATAGTCCTCTACCTTGTATCACAGTCTGCTACTGTGTTATCAGTGTCTCCTATTGTGTTATCACAGTGAACTATTTTGTCTTCACAGTCTCCTACTCTGTCATCACATCTCCTATTGTGTCATCATGTTCTCTTAATGTGTAATGACAGTCTCTTACTCTGTCATTACTGTCTCCTATTGTATCATCACAGTCTCCTATTGTGTCATTAGTTTCTCCTATTGTGTCATCACGGTCTCCTACAGTGTCATCACAGTTTCTTAACTATGTCATCACAGTCTCCTACAGGTCATCGCAATCTCCTACTGTGTCAAAAGTCTCTTATTGTGTCATCATGGTCTCCTACTATGTCACCAGTGTCTCCTATTTTTCATCATAATCTGCTATTGTCATGACTGTCTCCTACTTTGTCATCACAGTCTCCTACTTAGACATCACTGTTTCCTACTATGTTTGCAAAGACTCCTTCTGCATCATACAGTCTCCTATTGTTTCATCACAGTCTCCTATTGTGTGATCAGGATCTCCCATTGTGTCCTCACAGACTCCTATTGTATCATTACAGTCTCTTACTGTGTCATCAGTCTCTTATTGTGTCATCACCATCTCCTACTGTGTCATCACAGTCTATTGTGTTATCACAGTCTCCTATTGTGTTATCATAGTCTGCTATTGTGTAAATCCCAGTCTCCTATTGTGTCATCATGTCTCCTCTTGTGTCTACAGAGTATCCTATTGTGACATCAAGGTCTCCTATTGTGTCATCACAGTCTCCTATTTTGTCATCAATTCCCCAGTTATGTCATCACATTCTCCTAAAGTTTCATCATAATCTCATAACTATGTCATCACTGTTTCCTACTGGTCATCAAAGTCTCATACTGTGTCATTACAGTCTCCTATTGTGTGATCACAGTCTCCCATTTTGTCATCATTGTCTCCTATTGTATCATCAGGGTTTCCTATTGTGTCATCACAGTCTCCAATTGTGTCATCAAATTCTCCTTTTGTGTCAACATGATATCTTACTGTGTCATCACAGTCTCCTATTTTGTCATCACAGTCTCGTATTGTGTCATAAATGTCTCCCAATGTGTCATCACGGTCTCCTACTGTGTCATCACATTCTCATACTGTGTCACCACCATCTCCAACTGAGTCATCAATGTGTCATGTTGTTTCATCATAGTCTCCTACTGTGTCCTTACAGTCTCCTACTCTTTAGTCACAGTCTCCTGTTATCACTGTGAAATATTTCTCACCAAAGTCTCCTACTTTGTTATTACATCCCCTTTGTGTCATCATGATCTGGTAATATGTCATCGCAGTCTCCTACTGTGTCAACATGGCCTCCTACTATTTCATCTCATTCTTTTGTGTCATCACGATAACCTACTCTGGCATCATGGTCTCCTATTATTTCATCACGGTCTCCTATTGTGTCATCATGGTCTCCTATTGTGTCATCAATTCCCCAATTATGTCATCACATTCTCCTAAAATTTCATCATAGTCTCATAACTATGTCATCACTGTTTCCTACTGGTCATCAAAGTCTCCTACTGTGTCATTACAGTCTCCTATTGTGTGATCACGGTCTCCCATTTTGTCATCATTGTCTCCTATTGTATCATCAGGGTTTCCTATTGTGTCATCACAGCCTCCTATTGTGTCAACGTGTCTCTTACTGTGTCATCACGGTCTCCTACTCTGTAATCATGATCTCCTACTGTGTCTTCACCATCTCTTAGTGTGTCATCAGAGTGTCCCATTATGTCATCACTGTCTCCTACTGTGTCATTAGAATCTTCTTCTATGTAATCACAGTCTTCTTCTGTGTCATCAATGTCTCATATTGTGTCATCAAGATCTCCTACTGTGTCATTACAGACTCCAACTGTGTCATCACAGTTTCATATTGTGTCATTACTGTCTCATATTGTGTCATCAGCATCTCCTACTGTGTCATCATGATCTCCTATTATGTCATCACAGTCTCCTACCATGTATTATAGTCTCCTACTATGTCATCAATATCAACTATTGTGTCATCACAGCCTGCTATTTTGTCATCATTTTCTCCTATTGTGCCATCGGAGTCTCTTTCTCTGTCATCATAGTCTCTTTTTGTGTCATCACAGTGGCCTACTGTGTGAGCACATTCTCCTTTTGTGTTATCAAATTTACCTGTAGTGTCATTACAGTTCCTATTGTGTTATCACAGTGTCCTATTGTGTTATCACTTTTTCCTACTGTGTTATTACAGTCTCCTACTGTGTAACCACAGTCCTCTATTATGTCATCAAAGTCTACAATTGTGTTATCATTGTCTCCTACTGTATCATCACAGTTTCCTACTGTGTAATCACTATCTCCTAACTTTATCCTCACAGTTTCCTATTGTGTCATCAAGATCTCCAATTATGTCATCAGAATCTCCTATTGTGTCATCATGGTCTCCTATTGTGTCATCACGGGCTCCTACTTTGTAGTCACAGTCTTCTACCATGCCATCATGGTCTCTTATTGTGTCATCAGTGTCTCCTATTGTATCATCATGGTGTCCTATTGTGTTATCATGGTCTCCTATTTTGTCATCATAGCTTCCTATGTTGTAATCTTGGTCTCCTATTTTTCATCATTTTTCCTATTATGTAATCACGTTCTCCACCCATGTCATCACAGTTTCCTCTTGAGTCATCATTGTCTCCTATTGGGTCATCACCATCTCATAGTGTGTCATCACAGTCTCTTATTATGTCATCACATCTCCTATTATGTCATCACACTATCCTATTGTGTCATCATGGTGTTTTATTTTTTCATCATGGTCTCCTATTGCATCATCATGGTCTCCAACCATTTCATCAAGGTCCCTTATTATGTCATCACACTCTCCTATTGTATCATCACAGTCTCCTACTATTTGATCACCGTCTCCTATTCTGACATCAAGATCTCTGCTTATATTATCAGTCTCCTATTGTGTCATCATTGTCTCTTATTTTGTCATCACAGTCTTCTTTGTAATCACAGTCTTCTACTGTGTCATCATGGTCTCCAATTGTGTCATCACTATCTCCAATTGTGTCATCATAGCCTTGTACTGTATCAGCACATTCTCCTACTGTGTCATCACTGACTCCTACTATGTCTTTACCATGTCTTATTTTGTCATCAAGGTCTCTGATTATATCATTAGAGTCTCCTATGTGTCATCATGGTGTCCTATTGTGATATCATGTCTCCTATTGTATCATCATAGTCTTCTCTTGTGTCATCAATGTCTCCTACTGCGTCTTCACATTCTCCTACTGTGTCATCACAGTCTTCTACAGTTTATTCACAGTCTCCTATTGAGTGTCAGGGTCTCCTATTGTGTCAATAGGGTCAACCTATTGTGTCAAAATTTTCTCCTATTGTGTTATCATGATCCTCTATTGGATAATCATGTTCTCCATTTGTGTCATCTCAGACTCCTTCTGTGTGATCACAGTCTCCTAACTACGTCATCACAGTCTCCTGCTGTGTCATCATAGTCTCCTACTCTGTAATCACCGTCTCATATTGAGTCATCGTGGTCTCCTACTGTGTCATCACTGCACCCTACTGTGTTATCACAGTCTCCTACTTTGTTATCATAGTCTCCTATTGTGTCATCATAGTCTCCTACTGTGTCATCAGTGTCTCCTAATGTGTCATCATGGCCTCCTATTATGTCATCATGGTCTCTTATTGTGTAATCATGGTCTCCTATTGTGTTATCATGGTGTCCTAATGTGTCATCACAATCTCCTATTGTGTGATCATTGTCTTCCATTGTGTCATCAACGTAACCTATTGTATAAAAATGGTATCCTACTGTGTCACCCCGGTCTCTTACTGTGTCATCACATCTCCTACTCTGTCTTCACAGTCTCCTACTATGTCTTCAGTGTCTCCATTGTGTCATCACAGTCTCCTACTGTGTTATCATTGTGTCTGATTCTGTCAACATAGTCTCCTACTGTGTAATCACAGTCTCCTATTTTGTTATCAAAGCCTCCTATGGTGTAATCATAGTCTCCTACTGTGTTATCACAGTCTCTTCTTGTGTGATCACAGTCTCCTTTGAGTCTTTACAGTCTCCTATTGTGTCTTCAAGGTCTCCCATTGTGTCATCACTGTCTCCTATTGTGTCATCACGGTCCTCCTATTTGTCATCAAGGTATCCTACAGTGTCATCACTGTTTCTTACTGTTTCATCACAGTCTCTGAATCTGTCATGACAGTTTCCTACTGCTTTTTCACAGTCATCTATTGTGTCGTGTCATCATGGTCTCCTACTGTGTAATTACACTCTCCTATTGTGTCATCACAGTGTCCTACTGTGTCACCATATCCCCTATTGTGTCATCACAGCCTCCTATTTTGTCATCATTGTCTTCTACTGTGTTATCACAGTCTCCTACTGTGTCATCATGGTCTCCTACTGTGTCATCATGGCCTCCTACTTTGTCATCACATCTCCTATTGTGTTATCACAGTCTCCTACTGTCATCACATTCTCCTATAGTGTCAACACTGTCTCCTATTTTGTCATCACAATCTCCCATTGTGTCATCATTGTCTCCTATTGTGCAATCAAGTCTCCCATTCTGTCATCACTATCTCCTAATGTGTCATCATGGCCACCTACTGAGTCATCACAATCTCCTATGGTGTCATCACGGTTTCCCAATGTGCCTTCACTGTCTCCAATTGTGTCATCACGGTCTCCTCTTGTGTCATCACGGTCTCCTCTTGTGTCATCACAGTCTCCTATTTTGTTATCACAGTCTCCTATTGTGTCATTCTGGTTTCTTCCTGTGTTCAGTCTCCTATTTTATCATGAGGGTATTTTTGTGCCATCACATTCTTCTATTGTGGCATCACAGTCTCCTACTGTGTCATCAAAGTCTCATACTCTGTCATCACGGTCTACTTCTGTCATTTTGTTCTCTTATTGTGTAATCATGGTTTCCTATTGTATAATCATGGTCTCATATTGTGTCATCATGTTTTCTTACAGTGATATCAAAATTTCCTATTGTGTAATCATTGACCCCTATTTAGTCATCACATCCTCCTATTGTGTTATCACCATCTTCTACACTGTTATCACAGTCTCATACTCTGTCAACACAGCCTCCTATTGTGCCATCATTTGTTGCTGGAGGGCTTCTCTCCAGGTTCCCCAAGCCCCGCAGTCCCACAATCCACTTATAAAATAATCACTCAGACGCTTATATCACTTATAAACTGTATGGCCGTGGCAGGCTTTTTGCTAACTGTTCTTTTATCTTAAATTAACCCATTTTTATAAATCTATACCTTGGCACGTGGCTGGTGGCTTCTCAGCATCTTTACATGCTGCTTGTCCTGGCGGTGGCTGCAGTGTCTCTCCCCTCAGCCTTCCGCTTCCCAGAATTCTCCTCTCTCCTTGTCCCACCTACTTCCTGCCTGGCAACTGGCCATCAGTGTTTTATTTAGATATAGAGCAATATCCACAGCAATCATTTTCTCTTATTGTGTCATCACAGTTTCCTTCTGTGTCATCACAGTCTCCTACTGTGTTCTTAGAGTATCCTATTGCGACATCACAGTGCCCTACTCTGTTACCATAATCTCCTATTGTGTCTTCACATTCTCCTACTGTGTAATCTCAGTCTCCATTTACTCATCACTGTCTCCTACTTTGTCATCATGGTCTCTTATTGCATAATCACGATGTCCTATTATGCCATCTTGATCTCCTACTGTGTCATCACAGTCTCCTTCTGAGTCATCATGGTCTCCTATTGTGTCATCATTGTCTTGTATTTTGTCATTACAGTCTCCTATTTTGTAACCAGAGTCTCCTGTTGTGTCATCACAGTCCTCTTTTGTGTCATCACAATTTTCTACTGTGCCATATCAGATACCTATTGTATCATCACAGTCTCCTATTGTGTTATCATGCTCTTCCACAGTGTCATCACAGTCTCCTAATGTGTCATAACAGTCTCCCATTGTATCATCAATGTCTCCTATTGTCATCATAGTGTCCTACTATGTTATCATTGTCTCCTATTATGTCATCATGGTCTCCTATTGTCACCATGTGTCATGTTGATCTCCTATTGTGTCATTAGAATCTAATCCGGTGTCAGTATAGTCTCCTACTGTGTCATCATACTCTCCTATTTGTCATCATTGTCTCTTATTTTGTCATCACAGTGTCCTACTGTGTCATCACTGTCTCCTATTGTGTTATCCCTGTCTCCTATTGTGTAATCACACTCTCCTACTGTGTCCTCACTGTCTACTATTGTGTCATCACAGTCTCCTACTGTGTCATCACGATCTCCTACTGTGTCATTATTGCAACCTCCTCTGTCATCACAGTCTCCTATTGTGACATCACAGTCTCCTACTGTGCCATATCTGTGTCCTATTGTGTCATCACAGTCTTCTATTGTGTCATCACAGTCTCCTACTGTGTCATAAAAGTCTCATTTTCTGCCATCGTGATCAAATATTGTGTCATCTCGGTCTCCTATTGTGTCATCATGGCTACCTATTATGTCACCATGTTCTTCTATAGTGACAACAAATTTTCCTATTGTGTGTCATCATTGTCTTGTATTTTGTCATTACAGTCTCCTATTTTCTAACCACAGTCACCTGTTGTGTCATCACAGTCTCTTTTGTGTCATTATAGTCTTCTGTGCCATGTTGAACTCCTATTGTGTCTTCACCGTCTCCTCTTATGTCATCACATTCTCCTACTGTGTCATAACACTCACCTATTGTATCATTAATGTCTCCTATTGTTTCATCATAGTGTCCTATTATGTTATCATGTGCCCTTTTCTGTCACATGATCTTCTATTGTGTCTTCATGGTCACCTATTGTGTCATCTTGGTCTCTTATTGTGTCATCAGTATCTCCTACTGTGTTATTACAGTCTCCTACTGTGTCATCACAGTCTCCTATTTGTCATCATTATCTCTTATTGTGTCATCAAATTCTCCTACTGTGTCATCAATGTCTCCTATTTTGTCATCAATTTCACCTATTTTGTAACCACAGTCTCTTATTGTGTCATCACAGTCTCCTTTATTGTCATCACTGTGTCCTATTGTGTCATCACAGTCTCCCACTATGTCATCACAATCTCCTACTGTATCATCACAGTCTCCTCTTGTATCATCAATGTTTCCGATTCTGTCATCATAGTGTTTTAATGTTTTATCACGTTCTCCTTTTTTTTGTCCTCACAGACACCTATTGTGTCATCCCTCTCTCCTACTGTGTCATCACAGTCTCCTATTGTATCATCAATTTCTCCTATCGTGTCATCATAGTGTCCTAATGTGTTATCATGTTCTCCTTTTTTGTCCTCATGGTCTCCTATTGTGTCATCACGGTCACCTATTGTGTCATCAGGGTCTCCAACTGTGTCATCAGAATCTCCTACTGTGTCATCAGAGTCTCCTGTTCATTATCATTGTATCTTATTGTGTCATCACATCTCCTACTGTGTAATCACAGTCTCCAAATTTGTCATCACGGTGTCCTATTGTGTCATCACTATCACTATCTCCTATTGTATCATCACAGTCTCATACTGTGTCATCACGAACTCCTCTTGTGTCATCACAGTCTCCTACTGTATTATTGCGGTCTCCTACTCTGTCATCACAGTGTCCTTTCTGTCATCACTGTCTCCTATTGTGTCTTCACTGTCTCTTATTGTGTCATCATGTTTCCTACAGTGACATCATGTTTTCCTATTGTGTAATTATGGTCTCCAAATTTTCTAATCACAGCCTCCTATTTTGTCATCACAGTCTCCTTCTTTTTCATCACAGTTTCTTACAGTGTCATCACAGTCTCATACTGTGTGATCACAGTCTCGTATTTTGTCATCACTGTGTCCTATTGTGTCATCAAAGTCTCATACTGTGTATTCACAACTGCTATTGAGTCATCAATGTCTCCCTTTGTGTTATCATTGTTTCCTATTGTATTATCACAGTCATACTGTGTCATCACAGTGTCATGCTTTGTCATCCTTGTCTCCTACTGTGTCATCCCTATCTCCTATTTTGTCATCACAATCTCCTATTGTGTCATCATGTTTTTCTATTTTGTCATTATGTTTTCCTATGGTGTCATCGTGTTCTCCTATTGTGTCTACACGTTCTCTTACAGTGGCATCACATTTTTCTATTGTTTCATCATTGTTTCCTATTTTGTCATCACAGTCTCCTTTTGTGTCACCACAGTCTTTTACTGTGCCATCATGGACTCCTATTGTGTCATCACAGTCTCCTTTTGTATCATCAATGTCTCCTATTGTGTTCACAGTGTTCTATTGTGTTATCATGATCTTCTACTTTGTCATCATAGTCTCCTAATGTGTCATCATGGTCTCCTAATGTGTCATCATGGTCTCCTAATGTGTCATCATTGTCTCCTATTTTGTCATCAGATGTTCTTACTGTGTCATCACGGTTTCCTCTTGTGCCTTCACTGTCTCGTCTTGTGTTATCCCTGTCTCTTATTGTGTCATCACGGTCTCCTATTTTGTCATCATGGTCTTCTTTTCTGTTACCACATTCTCCTATTGTGTCATCACGGTCTCCTATTTTGTCAT